GAATATATGAAGAGTATAACAAAGATTAACAATAAAATTTTGTAAAAAAAAAAATTATAATAAATTGTTTATATTTTTCATTAAATTAAAATTCCTTAATAAACTATATTTCTATTGTAGTTTTTTATTGGTAATGTTATAGTACGCGCGACGTGTTTTTTCATAAGTTGGCAGCACTTATGCTCCCATGTAAAAGTATCACGTCGCGCGTTCGATAGTGGTTTTACGTCGCGCATACAATAATGGTTTTACGTCGCGCGTACAATACTGGTGGCGGTGTAATTTTTAAGGAAACCGATATTATTTCCCGATTACCACGGAAACCTCTATAGCACGCGCGACGCAATTCTTTTCCTACAATCTTAATTAAGGGGACTGCTAGGAAGAATAGGGGCCCTTGGGATGGGTTCAGAATGGGGCAAGACGACCTCTGGAGGGCCGTGCGCACCCTTATAGCAGGCGCGACGTATTACTATGGGACGCGCGACGGTCGAAAAGCGAACTCCGGAGGGCGCTTTTCACCATCGTCAGAGGCGCGACGCATGCTTATAGTACGCGCGACGCATGCTTATAGTACGCGCGACGCACGACTAATTAATTATTATAAAAGGTGTTGCACGCGGCCGGAGTTGTGGGCACCCCACGAACCGGCAACTCGGAGTAGGGCAACCCCCAAGATTAATTTTTGCAGAAGCCGCGAGCGAGGGGTGGAGGCGCAGCGAGGTCGAGGACGTGGGGAAGGCCGTGCGGAGGGCGAGGACAAAAGGGCGGCTGTGTTCGTGGGGGGGCTCCGCAGGAGCCCCCTCACGATCCCCGCCCTTTTGTCCCGCCCGGAGCCGGCCTTCACCACGTTCTCGGGTGAGCGCGCCTCCAGCCCGAAGCTCGCAAACCCACAACGGAGTTGCCCACAAAAGGTGTTGTCTGCAAAGGGAGTTGTGGGCACCACACTTTTTGCTTTCTAAGCCCTTTTTGCAGACAATTCCTTTTGTAAGCAACTCCGTTGTGGGTTTGCGAGCTTCGGGCTGGAGGCGCGCTCGCCCGAGAACGTGGTGAAGGCCGGCTCCGGGCGGGACAAAAGGGCGGGGATCGTGAGGGGGCTCCTGCGGAGCCCCCCCACGAACACAGCCGCCCTTTTGTCCTCGCCCTCCGCACGGCCTTCCCCACGTCCTCGACCTCGCTGCGCCTCCACCCCTCGCTCGCGGCTTCTGCAAAAATTAATCTTGGGGGTTGCCCTACTCCGAGTTGCCGGTTCGTGGGGTGCCCACAACTCCGGCCGCGTGCAACACCTTTTATAATAATTAATTAGTCGTGCGTCGCGCGTACTATAAGCATGCGTCGCGCGTACTATAAGCATGCGTCGCGCGTCCTATAACCATGCGTCGCGCCTCTGACGATGGTGAAAAGCGCCCTCCGGAGTTCGCTTTTCGACCGTCGCGCGTCTCATAGTGATACGTCGCGCCTACTATAAGGGTGCGCACGGCCCTCCAGAGGTCGTCTTGCCCCATTCTGAACCCATCCCAAGGGCCCCTATTCTTCCTAGCAGTCCCCTTAATTAAGATTGTAGGAAAAGAATTGCGTCGCGCGAATAATCGGTTTCCTTAACAATTTCACCGCCACCAGTATTGAGCGCGCGACGTAAAACCATTATTGTATGCGCGACGTAAAACCACTATTAAACGCGCGACGTAATGCAAGTGATGCCAACTGAAATCAGGGATTTTGGGAAACACGTCGCGCGTACTATAACATTACCTTTTTATTAAATAATAATTATTTTTATTGAAAGTTAATAAATGATTAACACACAAAAATGAAGCAAACTTGCATGCCAACTTACAAAATTTTTTAAACAAATATTTATAAATTATGGTAACTCTCAATGGTGGGTTTATGGAAAATTGGAAACCTTGCAATGTGGTGCGCATGTTTTCAATTTTTCATGCATAAATTATATAATAAATTTTTATGATTGAAGAAATTGACACTCGAGGAGATGATCATTGAAATGAAAGAGATGAAAGAGGCTTTTTCTCGTTGCGAAAATTGTTAAATGGTTAAATTTATTGAGTGTTACAGGAAAAAACGTACGGAAGCCAAAAAGCTGATTGAATTGGATTTTGAACTTGTCATGCAAGACATAAATAAAAAATTCTAAAATTATGAAAGAAACAGAAAAAATATAGTAGACAAAATATCATTTACATGCAAGTTTTCTGTTTTTTATGCTATTATTCCTTTTTTTTTTAATTATATAAATTTCATATTGCACCTCAAAGCGTATCAATTATAAATTTCAAACGGACATGCCGTGAACCGCAGCCAATTATCAAATTAATGCAAACACCCCGAAAGCAAGGAGCCTCCCCAGAGCGCAGGAGGCGAGGGTTGAAGCGGAGCAGAAGGGCGGAAGGCGCGCCGAGGGAGCAATAAATTAAGACGTAAGCGATTTTTAATTAAAAGAACAACATCTTATATTGTGTTGTTGGTGCGCCGACGAGAATTTCTTTCTCTCTCGCGACCAGATTTATAGATGATTTTATTTGCGGCGATAGCAGCTTTCGGGGCCGACGTATATAAAAGTAATTGGGCATGAATCTTGCAAAAGTCGAAATGCATCGCGGCCCACGCAGGAAGAAAGAAAGAAGCTGCGGAAAGAGAGAAACAATCAAGCGCGGCGGAAAAAAAATAACGGCAGTGGTGTTAAATGGTCTTTATTCGAAGCCGGCCGGCGATATAATTTTGTTACGACTACAAATTACCGCCGGAAAAGCGAACCGGGGCTCGGCTAACTTGCTGCGCGCCACTCGCTTCTTCCTCCGCTCTTTCATTCCGCTCAAATAAATTGGCGTTTAATCCGAGCCTTTTTACTCTCGCTTCTTTTTGGTGTGTGACGAGTGACCACTGGTCCATAACTGTGCCGCATAACGGCTGCGATCGCTAAAACGCCGATAAATCTGAGAGTGGAAAAAGAGAGAGGCGAAGACGCACCAACAACAGATCGCTCGTAAATTCACCTTTCAGCACCGAGGGTGGCGCGCGAAACGAGAGTAATGGAATGGACGGCGGCTAATGCAGTTATTGCGGATATTTTTGCTGCAGTTACGAGAATCAATACCAAAAAGAGTGAACAAAAGTTTTTAAATGCTAAATTAATCACTTGCAATTAATTGTGTTTTTCAGGCGAATGTATTTGTGAAATTATTGGTGGTCATGGAAGAATTGAATTTATTTATTATTTTGTACATTTTATTTATTAAGGGAATTATTATCATGCATCATAATGAAACTCCCTATATTTAAGGGCGATTTTTGGGTTAGACTTTAAAACTGAAAAAAATCTCATTCAAGCTTTTAACATATGATCTAGACCATAGCTTATATTTAATTTTTATAAAAATTGGCATGTATTAGTACGTTTTTATGAACAAAATTTAAAATGCAGCTTATTAAGAATAAATAATAATAACAATAAAAAGTACGAATATATTTAAAATATATAAATTGAAATTAAAATTAAAAAATTCTCTCGTTTTTAATCTTTGATAAAATAGCTTTTAATAATATTTAAGTAAATTTAATTTAAAAAACATTTTCTCCGCTGAGAAAAAATCCTCATTTTCTCTGGAATGTGTGGTCTTTCGCTATAGCGGTAGCAGCAAATTTGTCACCATCATAAACAAACGTCAAAGTGGCATTTCATTGTGGCAGCCGAGCCAACGCAACTGTGGCCGTCTCTCCGTCGTCGTCGTCGCCGCCGCCACCAGCAGCAGCTAATACAATTTTTTCCGTCCTCTTCTGCTTGTCTTTTCCTTTTCTCCCCTAATGACATTATTAACTGGTATAAAATTTTATTGTTTTAGCTGCTGCTGCTGCCGTCTTTTTTATTCCGCTCTTCTTCTTTATTGTGATCGCGTTTTAATTATATTTGCGGTCTGCTGAATAAACGAGTTAATTTGTAATGAATATCACGTAGAACGAACGAGAGACGCGAAATAAAGAAATTGGAATAATTAGCTCGCTTTTTTATATCCTCTGCGGCCGTGGATAGGAAGAGTGACTCCTCCAGATACTTTTCGAGCTACTCATTGAAAATTTACACTCGACCGAGAGCGAAGGAAAAGTTTGCCAGGAGAGATGGAGAGAGAGATGCGCTTGTTATGTATGCGCAATCAGCACCGCAAAACTTGCTGGCTTGTCTGCATGTCTTTCACTCGCAGTCGCTCCCACCGATAAACAAAGCTCTTCTCTCATTTTCGTTTGCCGACGATGAGAGCCACTTGCAGCCGCTTATTAGCCACATTTTCCCAAAAGAGAGAGAGACTTCAACTAGTGAGAGAAAATTTCCTGACATTCGGTGCAGGAATTTTAAATTTTTAAATTGATATTAAAAAGTTTGGAAAGGGAAAATTATTTAAACGTTTCAAATTTATATTAAATCGTAATTAATATTATTCATTCTCCTTTGAAAGTGCTTTCAATTTAAGGAAAATTTTAACAGAAGTTAGAAATTTCTTTTCTATCCTTAATTTTTTTTTTAAATATTGTACATAATTAATTATAGGTTTTAGCCAAAGTTTAAAATACACAATAATGCACAATTATAAATTTCAATAAAAATCTTAAATGATTTTAAAAAGTTAAAATATTCTTATCATTTGGGAATTACTTCCAAAGTGAGTTTTGATTTTGAAATTTATATTAAATTCATTTGAAAAGGAAAAAATTGAAATAAAAGGTTTCCAATTCATAATAATTAATCTTCAATCCTTTCCGTAAGTGCTCTCATTTGAAGAAAAATTAAAAAAAAAAAAAGGAAATTTGTTGATATCTTACATTTATTTATAAATATTCTTATTAATATTAAGTTTAAACCAAAGTATTATTTAATTTCCGTTAATTTCAATAAAAATTTTTCGGTTTTTTTATGTTAAAATGAATTCTTTTTACTTGAGTATTAATTCCGAAGTGAAATTTGATTTGATTAAAATAATTGCACTGACCGTTTTCAGATGTGCTGTTGGCGTCGACCGGCTCTGGAAAGATGACGGCCGTGTCGCTGCGTCCGAGGTACTCCCTGATCTTCTCGTCCTCGTCGTTCTGGTGTCCGTTGGTGAGCACCGGCTGCTCTTTGCCGTTGGCCAGCACGTTTTTGGAACTTTCGCTTCGATGGTTGTGGTTGTCGTCGGGACTCATCTGCGGCGCCGGCCGAGCGGGCGACCGACTTTCGGGGGCCTTGTCGGCGGCCAGCGGCGGCGACGGTGGCCCCGACGGACTCTCCTCCATCTCTAGCGGCGTCGCCGAATCGGAAAGCGGCCGCTCATCGTCACCGAGATCTTCTAAATCAACTGAAACAAGTAAAGCAAAAATGCAGTTTTAGCGCCGAGTTTAATTGACATAAAACTTATTTTAAGTTTTCTCAAAGAAGAAATTAAAAGAGGTATGATTATTGAAATTCAAAGCTATATTTGAAAATGCATCATTTTTAATTTATGTAACAAATTAGAAAAGCATTATTAATAGTGATACTGAATTATAGTGAAACTGAAATACCCAACAGATATCAAATATGTATTCAGACAATTCAATAAATTGAAACCACACATGTATAATTATATATTAAAAATAACAAACAATAAGAAATAATTAGTTCATATAATTTCAAAGCATAAAATTGAATAAAAACATTCAAGCTGATACAAATTGGATTTAAAATAAAATGTTAATAATAAAAAACAAATTCAAAAAAGTCTTAATATTAAAATGAATTAAATTTACTAAAAAATATTGAAAAAAAACTTCTACTTATTTACAATACTTTAAATTTAAATAAAATAAAAATATATTTTTTTATTCTAGTGGGATTTGATATCTGTTGTTATTAATCCAATCCAACAATTATTATTTAATTACATCCCACGGTCTTGCGCAGCAAGTAAGAGCTGAGACGGTGTGCCTCGATAATAATTAAATCCACCCCCAACATCATTGTCTCCGTATTCCTATAGGAGGCGAACATTGTTAATTTCACTTGCACGACGAGCCTTTTTAAATCATGGTTGTGTCTCTGCTCAATCTCGTGGGGCGTGACATAAATTGGTTTCTGATACACGAGCAGGAGAGAGAAAAAATTGCCGGCTGCTGCTTCTTTTTTTCCCAACGTCATCCGCGTGTTGTGTTGTTTAATCGAGAGACGTGGCTGCTTTCATCAAATATGCTAATTCGCCGGCCCGTCTCTCTAAATTGCTTTTCCCATATCGGCTGCCTCTGGCGAAACCATTATCCCGATCTTCTCTTTTTTTTTGCAGCTGATGTCACCGAATTAGTTTTAATTGCCATCCGAGTGCGTTTCGACGTCGCGCGAGCCAGCGAAACGTGCAATCAGGATTAGTCAGATTGATATGCAACGTGTGGCAAATGGAAATTAGGCACGGTCAAGTTCTCCGGCAGATTAAATCGTCCCGTGAGTGATACGTAGAGATGGAGAGAGAGAGACGAACTAGGCCATTGCCATTTGGCTCGCGAAACAATAATCCGAATTGCTGCCCCGAATACCTCAGCGCGTGCGGCATTAACATCGCAATCAATTAACCGCAGCTATCAACGGAATAATTTATTTATAACCGGCTAAGGTATCCCAGATATCTGAACTCAATTCTAACACAAGTGGCTTAAAACCATTTTGAAATAAATGGTAAAATAAGTAATTATTGAAGGGGAATTGTTTTAATTCTACATTTTTTAATTTAATGTGATCTCAGAATAATTTTACATTAGTTAATTAAAATTCAATAGGAATTTGAATCAGGTCTGCAATTTTTAAAAATTAAATTTTGATTGCTTTGAATGATTCTTTTCTTCATCATTTTCTTTTCACCTAGAAGCTTCTGCTAAAATTAATTTTAATGCAAATTTTTTTCAAACATTTGAAGTGGTTTTTACATGTCAATTCCAAGGAGACTTCATAGGAAAAATTGTATGCATTGAAATATAACTTTTTTTTAAAATTAGTTCTTTTTACTGCAAATCTATGCATAAATGTTTTTTTTTTTTTTTTAATAAAATTGAAACGATTTAAATTGATAAAAAAAATCATCAAATCACTTCAATGTCGTTGAACAAAATGGATAATAAAATGAAATCTACATCAAAAAAACAATATTTGATCTTAGAAAAAAATTTAATAATTCTTTAATTATTCGTCAAATATTCTTTTTTTAACTTAAAATTATTTATTCATGAGGCATATTAATTTAATTTATAATTATTTGTAAAAAAAAAAAATACCATTCGTTTTAGTTTTATTAAACAAAATCATTTTCTCAATAAATGGACTTCTGCTTTTCAGAAACCTTTGCGAAAGTGAAAAACTAGCCTGCGGATATATTGGCGAGGGAGCGAGGTCTCTGTCTTTTCGACTTCATTCAGTGTGTTAATGCACAATGCATACATAATATTTTCGTTCCTTGCCCGTACAGGAACAATAGATGATGTGCACGGACGTGCCGGCGCCGCGATATTAATGTGGCAACGCTCGAGGTGACAGCCGCGTGTCCACCGCGCGTTTTTCCGCCGCCGGCACCGCACATAAGAATGTGATTTTAACCCCTTCTCAAGGGGACGTGACAGCGGTGAAATATTATAATTCGCATTACACCGACCAGAGGCGACGGCGCGCTCTGCTGTAATTAGTGTGCAAAAATGGCGACGAGAGCGTCTGATGTTCCATTCATCCGCGCGCACCCCAAGCATCAGGCGAAAGAGTGAGAGAGACACGGAGACGTCAGCGCAGAGCATGAATGTGGACCGAAAAAGCGGGTCGCACCAAGTGTCACGTTGGCAATTCACGGAATTTCATGACAATCATGACTCTATTCATGGAGATTGTGAGAAATAATGAATAAAAATTTGTTTTATATAATTTTTTTTATTAATTTTAAAGACCCACTCCGGTCATTTGTATTGCTCTTTATTATAAAAGATTGCTAAATTTCGAGTATATCTTGTGAAAACATTATTTGAAAATTCCAAACCGTTGCGTCTCAATCAAAAGAAAACCTAAATACGAGTGATTCGCGCGAAAAACATGTGAGAATTGAGTAGCCAATCCATCAGTTTTGTACAAAAACTACAGAATTTGGTCACATTGGCGCTGCGATCGCTGATTTTGCCAAGTTTTCTGCAGCGCCGTGGGGCGATCGCAGCGCCAATGTGACCAAATTCTGTAGTTTTTGTACAAAACTGATGGATTGGCTACTCAATTCTCACATGTTTTTCGCGCGAATCACTCGTATTTAGGTTTTCTTTTGATTGAGACGCAACGGTTTGGAATTTTTAAATAGTGTTTTTACAAGATATACTCGAAATTTAGCAATCTTTCAGAATAAAGAGCAATACAAATGACCGGAGTGGGTCTTTAAACTTTTTCTAAATAATAAAAATAGGAATATGTTTTTTTGTATTGATTGTTTTTAACAGAATTTTGATCAAAATTATGCAAATATTTTCTTTCTCAGGCAGTTTGAAACTAGAAATTTAATTCTCCTCTCTCCACAATCACGATTCCATCTTTCTATTTCGATGGAAGATTAGACGACTAATTAGTGGAACTGGGCGCGGATATAGGAAGCGGCCGGCACCCCTTTTCCTGCCGGCAGCCCCACGATTAATTAAACATTCGGTCATCTTCTCGAAAAATTCGATCCCGGCTCGCTCAATTACGCGCGTTTCCTGCTTTCGACAAACGAACAGGAGCCGCTTTTGTCCGCGTCATCTGCATGAATAAAACTTTTCCTCCGCGCGAACATATACTTTGCTCGCACACAATGTGTAAGAAAAGTTTGCTCTTGCTTGATGATGGAAAAAGTAAGTCGTGCCCGCGGCCATGTGAACCGACCGAGCTTTGGAGAGGATAATGCTCGGTGACCGTCCTTTCGTCCGTCGTTTTTTTTCCTCCCTTGCCGAATGGTTAATTATCGTCATCTCACTCACTGTGTTGCTGCGAGCGCACTCAGCTCTCTCTCTCGTGAGTACGTTCTTGAGGCCGCGCCCATTTTTACGATTATGATATCTGCAGGAAGCGATGTCCAACTTTTATTACTCTGTCATATCGCATATGCCCCTCGTTATTCACACACACTTGAGGCCCCGGGCGAGTCACCGCTCGCATGTGCAGCTAATAATCATTTCACCCCGAGCGATCGGCAGCAAAGAGTTGCGATTCGCCCGAGACTCGTCGTTCTGGCAGCTCGGCCTCTATTAACCGGCCAGATTTCCTACGAGAAATAAAGAAATGACAGCGAATTTCCTAGAGGGCTTTTTTTGCTGATACGAAAAGGCTCAATGCTTTTCCAAAGGCCGAGGGGACAACTCAAATTTTAAGCAAATCAGTCCAAGAATATATTTAATTGTGGCTTGTCCAGAATATTTCCATAATTTCTAGATTTCGGCCGGAGTGAAATTGAGCAAGAAAGGATATTTTTTACTAGAAGTTCACAATCGAGGAATGAATTTAAATTCGGCTTTTCCTCGATGATTTTAAAGGTTACATTTTTTACACAAAACAATTTTTAACACAAAAATTTGACAATTTGAGTATAATTTTTTGAATTCTTAATATTTACATTATTATTATTATTATTGATCTTTATTGATTTTTATATTGTCAAATTTTTGTGTTTAATTTTGTGTGTGTAAAAAAGGAACTTTTAAATAATTTTTTCACGAAAAAGTGTTTATTTGAAACAAAATTTTTTTATTAAATTGTTTTTTGTACTAATTTTTGTCAAAACGTTTTCACAGCTCATGAGTTATGGCTGCAGCCGAAACATGTAGAGCAGGATATTGTTTTTCTTAAACAATAAAAAACCCATCAAAGAAAATCTCCGAATTTAAATTCAAATCACAATGAAAGGAAATAGCCAGAATTTGTTTGATTCAGAATGCTATTTGCTGGCAATAATTTATTGCATTTTTTTTCATCTTCATAAAAATATGCATCAAAAAGTTTAAATTGAACTATACAGTTTAATTTATTATTTATAACAAAACTAACTTTAGATTTTCGTTGTTGTTTTAAATGAATGCATAAAATTTTGCAATTATTTCATAACTCACAGAGCGCTAGGTGTGGTTTGACGCGCGAACTCTGGTCAAGAGGGCTGCACGCGAACCTGTGGCTTCAATTTAAATAATGAGGAATAAATGGTCGCCGGAGTCACGTAACTGGGCGTGCGGTTTGCGGGAGGCCATTAATGAACGGCCAGAAATACACGTCATCGGGCTCTCGTGCAAAGTACTTTTGGAAAAGGAAATCCATCCGCATCTCGGGATAAAGGTGAACGAATCA